CAGAGAATATCAGAAAGATGTTTACCTGTGCTTTATTGACTATGCAAAGGCTTTCAATTGTGTGGATCATGACAAGCTATGGACAACATTGTAAAGTATGATCATTCCTGGACACTTAAATGTGCTCATGAGGAATCGGTACCTGAGCAAAGAAGCAGTTGTTAAAACAGAACATGGGAACACTAAATGGTTTAAAATTAAGAAAGGTGTATGACAGGTTTTATTCTTTCACCATACTTAGTCAGCCTATTTGCTGAGCAAATAATCTGAGACGCTGGGTTATATGAAGAAAAACATGGCATGGGGATTGGAGGAAAACTCATTAACAACCTGCAATATGCAGATGATACAATCTTGCTTGTTGTAAGTGAAGAGGACTTGAAACATTTACTGATGAAGATCAAAGAGCACAGCCTTTTGTATGGATTGCATCTCAATGTAAAGAAAACAAAAATCTTCACCACTGGACCAATAAATAACATTCTTATCAACGGAGAAAAGATTGAAGTTGTCAAGGATTTCATTCTTCTTGGATCAACTATCAATACTCACAGAAGCAGCAATCAAGAAATTAAACGACATATTGCATTAGTCAAATCTGCTGCACAAGACCTTTTAAAATTGTTGAAGAGCAAAGGTGTCAGCTTGAGGACTAAGGTGTGCCTGACACAAGCCATGGTAGTTTCAATAACCTCATATGCATGCGAAAGCTGGACAGTGAATAAGGAAGACCATAGAAGAATTGCTGTTTTTGAGTTATGGTGTTGGAGGAGAATACTGAAAGTGCCAAGGGCCGCCAAAAGACCCAATAGATCTGTTTTGGAAGATGCACAGTCAGAGTGCTCCTTGGAGGCCAGGATGGCCAGGCTTCATCTCTCATACTTCAAGATGTTGTCAGAAGGGACCAGATGTCAGGAGGGACCAGTTGCTGAAGAAGGATATCATGTTTGGCAAGGTGGAGGGTCAGAGAAAAAGAGGAAGACCCCCAACGAGATGGATTGGCCAAGTGGCAGCATTGATGGATTTAAGCGTGTCAGCGGTAGTGAGGTTGGTCCAGAATCGGGCAGTGTTTCATTCAGCTGTGCAGATGGTCTCTATAAGTCGGTACCAACTCGATGGCACCTAACAACAACAACAACCAAGATATGGGTGGGAGTGTGGAATGGTGCACCATTTGAGATCCATAGGGCAACATTTACCTAAGGAAAAAGTTCAGAAGGGCTGGGAGGAGGGTGCAAAGGAAATAAGAACCATAGGGAGAAAGTGAAATAAGGTTATTGCATGGAGGGGACTGCAATCATTGAGATAAAACAAAGTACATGGTTTTTTAAATGCAAAATTGATGGCCTGCTCTGTAAATCTTCATTCAATCCATAATAAAATGTTTTTGAAAAATGAACAAGTTTCAGAGTCTCTTCTGACATTTATTTTGGTCTTTTCTTTCTCTCCTATTTTTTAATGGCCTTTAGCATTTTTCATGTATGATGTCTTAATGTCATTGCACAAATTATCTGGCCTTCAGTCATTAGCGTTTAATGTGTCAAATCTATTCTTAAGATGTTTTTTATACTCTGGTAGGATATACTCAAGATCACACTGTGGCTCTCATAGACTTGATTTCGTTTTCTTAGACTTCAACTTGAACTTGCATCTGAGCAACCAATGGTCTGTTTCACAGTTGGCCCTGGTCTACTTCTGACTGATATTGAGCTTCTCCATCATCTGTTTCCACTGATAAAATTGGTTTGATTCCTGTGTATTCCATCTGGTGAGGTCCACATATATAGTCACCATTTATGTAGTTGAAAAAACATATTTCCAATAAATAGGTCATATTTTTGTTGTGTGCCATTGAGTCAGTTACAACTCATAGCAGTTCTGCATAGGGTTTCTGGGAGCAGCTGGTGGGTTTGACCATCAATCTTGTTTTTACCAGTTCAGCACATATCCTACAATGCCAAACAAGGACTCAGATAGGACATAGATCTTGTAAATTTCTATCACATGATCTCCAGCATCGTTTTTATCACCAGGTCTGCAGTGCATTTAACTGCTTTTGTATGGCCTTTCTCTTCATGGTCTTGTAACACCTACAGAATTACTGGGTGGAGCTATGCAAATAAGGTGTTCAAAGTCCACCAAGGTGATTAGACAACTTGCTTATAATGCAAATAAGGTGTGTGGAATCCCTGTGGGAATGGGACTATGCACATAAGGGGTATGGAATCTTAACAAGATAATTAGTCAGTTTTACCATATCACCTGGCTTTAAAAAGAACCGTTCCAGGGCAGGGGAAATCCTAACTGCCACCAAGAAGAGATGAGAGTAGAATCTATCCTTTAAACATGGGGTCCTTTGCTGGGAACATCCTAGACACCAGAGAAAGAGAGTTGTATGCCAAAGATAGTGAGAAACAGTGAGAAGTAATGGCAGAGAAACAGCAGCAGCTGAACCAGGGGACCAGCACCAGAAGGCACCCAGTGCACCAAGTAAAAAAAAGCTGAATGAGTTGGGCAATTAGCGGTGAAGCTGAAGAGTTTCAGAATACTTGCACAAGCCGAGGCAACTCAAGAGACCCAAGGGGTCAAGGGACCAAGCACCAAAAAGCCAAGGGTCAGGGAGAGGTCTACCTGCAAGCAGACCTAAGAGGCTGTCTTAACCAAATAACTGTATCATGAGTCTTTCTTTATTCTGAGTCATTCTTCAACCTGTTACTTCCCTAATAAACTCCTATAATTGTATTAACCATGAGTTCTGTGTGGCCATTGAAACTAATTATTTAACTCAACAGAGAAGAGAGTGTCATGGACAGACAATTGGAATCAGAATTTGTAAAAAGATTGTACAGAATAGGCATCTCTGGCCTCTGTCTCATAGGAATCAGTCTTAGGTTGATGGTGATTCATTCATTCATTTTCTCTCTCTCTCTCTCTCTCTCTCTCTCTCTCTCTCTCTCTCACACACACACACACACACACACACACACACACATTCTCTTTCTTTCTGTGAACACAGTATTCTCTCCCACTCCAGGGAGAACCAGGAATGTGAAAAGATTCTCACACAAGCATGCACTGAGATGCTCACCTGTGGGACCCATGGGAAAGGAAGGCCCTTCATAGACAGAGCCACAGAGACCCGATACACATCTCAAAAATCAAATCCTTTCCCTGGGAACAGGCTCCCCACAAAGTTTTTCACTCTGCAGGTATCCACCGCAGAGTTTAGGCAGCAGCTTCAGCTTCTCATCCCTCTCCTCTCTCCTCAGACTAGCGATTGCCTGTGTAGGAAACTGGGAGGCAGGGCCTCTTGGTGGAAGGAGGGACAGCTGGGGCCAGAGGCCTAGTCTAGGGGTGTGCCTGTATGTCACTGTGAAGTGTGAGTGGGTGTGTGTGCTTGCGAACATGTGCCACTTCTGCATGGGGCATGTTTTGAACAGGTTTGTGGCTGGGAGCACACTTGGAAACCATCAGGTCTGCTCTTTGGAGCCGGACCAGTTCAGGTTTCTAGAGGAGCTCTATGTAAGAGATTTGGCTAGAGTCTCAACTCCTTCTGGGTTCATGGTCATGAACTGGGCCTGGATGGGCCAGCTAGGAATGAGCCATCTGCAGATAGCTCAGCACACCCCACTCAAAGCTTCCCTCTCTTTGCTCCCTAGAAGCAGTTGCCACACGGCTGAGGAAGCCAGAAAAACTCCTGGCAGAGTTGGACAGGAGCACTCCAACCCATATCCCAGGGGTCCCCAGAAGAAGAGGCAGTATGCCTGTCCCCTACAAGCACCAGCTTCGGCGGGCCCAGGCCGTAGATGAACTTGACTGGCCACCACATGCCACATCTTCTGACTCCTCTGACTCTCTGGGCTCAGGAGAGGCAGCCCCCAACCAAAATGATAGCATCTTCAGGGTCATGCTGGTGGGGGAGAGCGGTGTGGGCAAAAGCACTCTTGCAGGCACTTTCAGCGATCTCCAGGGAGACAGTTCTCATGAACCTGAGAACCCAGGTATGTGGGGGTGTCACATATTTGCAGGGGTTGAGGGGCCTCTGGAGCCCAAGTGAGGGACTTGCTCTTGGTATGAGCATCCCCTAGAGGCAAGAACCTAACAGAGGCTTCACCAAAGGCTTTCTGTGGCAACCTCCCTGGAGGGGGTCCCTGGGTTAAACTCTGAAGCATCTCTGGTAACCAGGTCTCACAAGCGCTGGGGAGGTTTTTTTTTGTTTTGTTTTGTTTTGTTTTTTAACACACTCTATTCCCTCTCCCTGTTCCTCCCACAGAGGACTCCTATGAGAGACAGATCTTGGTGGATAAGGAGGAAGTGACTCTAGTTGTATATGACATCTGGGAACAGGTGAGAACTAAGATGTGTTTGCCAGCAGACAAGGACACCTGAAAGAGCTGTGGGTTAGGGGGAGGCAAAGTTTGGCTGAAGGCTGGGGGGACTCCAGGCCCTCAAACCTGACCTTTCATTTGTATCATCTCAAAGAGCAAAGGCCCACGCAATGAACCACTGGATATTCTGACTCAGAGGAAAGTTAGCATCTGGATTGACAAACCTTGAAGCTGAAAGCTAAGCTGAACATCCTGAAATTGACCCCATCCATAAATTTTTCAGACTGGAAGAGTCTGATCCAATAGAGAGCTGAGAGCTTTGGAGCATCAGAGAAGTTTAAAAAAAACAAAAAAAAAAAGCGAAGGTTTATGAGTAGAAATGAGAGGCCAAGTTATGTACCCTTGACTAATATTAATATTTTCTGAATCAACAATTTAAGCATAAGAAAGTAGGCTGGCACCCCTAGTCTCGAATCTTATGTCCCCAATTCTCCAAGTGGGGCTCCCATTACTAACTCCTCCCTCCTCCACAAACACTCTTGGGGTACCTTCACAATTAACCCTGAGGTGCTAAGCAGATAGATGGCTTCTCTTTCACAGCCCATTACCTCATCCTAGAGGTCTAGGTGACATACAGATCTCCCATGCCTCCTGTCCTGACATTCCCTGGTTTTGTGCCCTTTTGCAGGGGGATGCAGGGGGGTGGCTGCGAGACCACTGTCTTCAGACTGGAGACGCCTTTCTCATCGTCTTCTCAGTCACCGACCGAAGAAGCTTCTCCAAAGTTCCGGAAACCTTACTTCGGCTCCGGGCTGGGAGACCCAACCACGACCTGCCTGTCATCCTCGTTGGCAACAAGAGCGACCTGGCTCGCTCCAGGGAGGTCTCACTGGAGGGTGTGTAACCCGAACTCCTTCCCTAAAGGGGAACGTTCTCTCACTTCCCACATCTTCTCCCTAAGACTATATTACCCTCACTGAGCACTGAACTGAGGCTTTTCACCCACCCCCACCCCTGTCCCCTTCCGGCCCCCTTTCTCCCTCTCTTGCGCATCGGCACTGCCCCACCCTGTGGCCCTTGCCTTGTTCTCTCACGTGGGATTCGTCTGCCCTCGATCCCCGTCCGCAACCCACGCGGGACTCCCTAGACGCACCCTCGCCGGGGGGGGGGGGGGGGTGTCAGTTTGATCCTGCAGATGCCAGAGCCTATCCCTTGCTGCAGAGGGCCGCCACCTGGCCGGGACGCTGAGCTGCAAGCACATCGAGACGTCGGCAGCGCTGCACCACAACACGCGGGAGCTCTTCGAGGGCGCGGTGCGCCAGATCCGGCTGCGACGGAGCAGAGGCCGAGCTGGGGTCCAGAGGCCTGAGCTGGGCAGTCCCGAGGGCCCCGCGCCGCCCGCACGCCGTGAGAGCCTCACCAAGAAGGCCAAGCGCTTTCTCGCCAACCTGGTGCCGCGCAACGCGAAGTTCTTCAAGCAGCGCTCCAGGTCATGCCACGACCTCTCAGTGCTCTGAGCTGCGGTCGCCATGGCCACCGCGGTCGCCATGGCCACCGCGCCCTCAGCTCACCCTTCGTCCCGCCCTGCGCCGCCCGGGTCCGGCTACCTTTGTTGGAGCCGTCTAGGAAACCAAATACTACCAGGATGACCTGGTGTGGCCGCGGGAGGCAAACCCCCCCCAGCCCGTCTCCAGGCCCCAGAGCGCCTGGAGATGCCGACCTGCAAGCATGCGCGCCACGGGCGGTGATAGGCTCGGGCTAGTGGGGGTGGGAGGGTGGGGAGCTGGAAGGAAAGTTTTGCAAGGTATATTGTTTATTAATTCGCGCTTGGCACCCTCTCCTGTAAAGAGATTCTAAAAGCAAGAACTGAAAACATGCTTTATAGACTCCTTTACCGAATTTTCCTCCTTTGTACTCTGCGCGAATATGCCTCCCCTTTAAGAGATTCTTAAAGGTAATGGCATGGAGACCCTTCTCAGAGACTTTTCACCCAACGTCAGGCTTTCGTTGCCTGCCGCCCTAGTCCACTTTTCCTTTAAAAAGATCTTAAAGGCAAGGGCCTAGAAGCGGTATTTTTGATAACTGATTCTGGATTAGCCCTTACTCCATGGCACTGCCCTTTAACGTTGTTAAAGGTAATGTATGGCTAGACTTTTCCTCTTTGAGGCACTAGTGTGAAATGCTGAGCAACCCTGTTTGGCCCAGGGCCCACTGATGCAGCAATAAGGGCCACCACTTCACTTTTCAATAAACAGTTTTTCTACTTCACCTGTTCTCTCAACTCTTTGTTCTTGAAGACATGGGGTAGGGGTTGATGTGAATAGAAACACCTTTTACAGGCAGGAAAACTTAGGCCCATAAGAACAAGGAACCTAAGTCTCTAACGAAACTCCAGAATTGACTTCATCCATGACAAGGCCCTCAGAGATCTAGAAAGGAGCAGAGTCTGTGGGAAGTTGTTTAGTGATTTTGTGGCACAAAGGCTCCTTCCCTACCCTATTCTGTGAAGAACAGGCTGGAGGCTACACACAGCTCCCAGAGCTGCACTCGGCTCTAACTGGGCTGGCTCAAGGCGGCCCCATTCACCAGAGAGGTTCATCAACTGGGGCACCATGGGGTGTACCTGCACCACCCCTGGCAGTGCCCTGCCACCCCAGCCATCACCTGCAAAGCCCATATGAGAACTGAAGCTGTCAGTGCCTCCTCTGGGGACGCCCACGCCTGCTGCTGCCTGAGACACGAGTTTGAACAAAGAGAGCAGAGGCAGCAGCTCCCCTCAACCCCAATACAGCTACTTGAGAGTACCAGGTCGCCACCCAACTCCACACAGGCTCCCAGAACTTGAAAGATGGGAGAGCAGTTGGGGAGGAGCCAAAAAGGATCAGTCGAACATGACTGGTTATGAAATGATAAAAAGAATTACGGCAGTTATGGATTTTATCTCAGTTAATTCTTTAACAACTATTTAAGGTGTTATTACCCATTTTACAGTGGAAGAAACTGAGAGTTTAAGTAACTTGCCTGAAGTCAGCAGTGAGCAATAGAGCAGGAATTTCACTAATGTCTGCCAAATGCAAAATGATTATTTTACTCATCTACTATGAAATAAATTGCATCCCTCAAAAATGTCATAATTCGTAACCTCTACAACTCGACAGCACTTAACAACAACATGCCTGTAGGATAAGCACTGGACTGCAAACCACAAAGTTGGCAGTTTGAGCCCATCATCACTCCTCAGGAGAAAGATAAAGCTTTCTGCTCCTACAAAGATTTACAACCTCAGAAACCCTATGCAGGGTCACTATGAGTCAGAACTGATTTGATGACACTTAATAACAATGACAATGCCTGTAGTTATAACCCTGTTTGGGAATACTAATGAAGCAGAATTCAGATAAGTGTGTCTTAAATTAATCTCTTAGGAGATATAAAAGAGCTTAACCAAGCAATCCAGCCAGCAAAGATAGGAAGAGAAATGCCACATGAAGATCTCCGAGGAGCAGAAGCTCAGAAAAAGACAAAGATATTCCTTCAAAGCCAACAGAGGGAGAAAGTCTTCCCCTGGAGCCAGCACTCTGAATTTGGACTTCTAGCCTCTAAAGCGTGAGTGTTTTCAAAACAGTCACTGCTGTACATCCACAGGGAACTGCAATTCAAGCCAGCTTCAGAAGAGAACATGGAACAAAAGATATCATTGTTGACATCAGACAGATCTTGATTCAAAGGAGCGAATACTAGAAAAATGTTTATCTGAGTTTTATTGACTAGGTAAAGAGATGATAGTTGGAATCATAACAAATTGTGGCTAATGTTGAGAAAAATGGGAATTCCAGAGTGTGTTCATGCAGAACCTGTCCAAAGACCAAGAGGAAGTCATTCAAACAGAACGAGTGGCTACTGCATGGTTTCAAAATCAGGAAAGCTGTATGTCATGGTGGCATCCTTTCATCATACTTATTTAATCTGTATGCTGAGCAAATAACCCTAAGAGTTGGACTATATGGAGAAGAATGTAGCAGCAATATAGAAGACTCATTAAGAATCTGTAATATGCAGGTAACACAACCTGGCTTGCTGAAAGCAAAGATGACTTGATGCACTTACTGATAAAAATCAAAGACTACAGCCTTCAATATGGATTATATATCAGCATAAAGAAAATAAAAATCCTCACAACTGGACCAATAAACAAAACCATGATAAACAGAGAAGATTGAAGTTGTCAAGGATTTCATTTTACTTGGATCCACAGTTAGTGCCCATGAAAAGGGCAGTCAAGAAATCAAATGATGCCTGGAGTTTCAAGACCATAGTCTGGAGGGCAAATCAAGGTCAACTGACATAACATTGTCCTCAAAGACAATGTTCTCTATCCTAGTTCAATGAATAGCAATTGGAGTCTTAAAAGCTTGTGAACTATTGGTCACTCCCTATCAGAAACAAAGAAGAGTGAAGAAAAAAGATGCATGGAAACAATTAGTTCAAAGGACTAATGGACCACACAAACCTTAGCTTCCAGACCCTGAAACCAAAAGAACTAGATGGTGCCAACCACTATAAAATGGATCACAAAAGTAGGTCCTGGATAGAGTGAGAGAAAACTGTGAAACAAAACTCAGAATCATAAAAAAAAAAACAAAAAAAAAACAGACCTTACTTTTGTAAAATAGTCACTTATGTGTGACAGAAATGAATATTGGGGATTGTGATTACAGAAAGCCCATCTTCAGCCTGTAACTGATTGGATTTGCTAAAAAGGGTGTTAGGAGTTGCCTAGGGAAATAGGCTTCTTGTTAAGCCTTTGTTGAGTTGGGGCCTTAGGTGGTATTCTGAACCCTACCCTTTTGAGTTAGGACATTCCCACTTGAAAAGACATGCAGACCAACCTAGAACTGCTGAGAGAACAGAAGAGTTTTATTGAAAGAAAGATCTGCAGAAAAAAAAGTGGACTGTTTGGCTGTTTGAATTCAAGCAAGCTGCTTGCTTTGGGGTTATCAAGGCAAGAAAAGTTAGCCTATTATGCAAACCCCCTTGTAGAACTGAAACTTAAAGGGACCCTCGAACAGTCTAGTACGCTCGATGGTGACCACCTGGTTCTACTTGTGAGTGGAAGTAGGGGAAATACAGCAGTGAAGACATGGCTGAGTCTGGCCATGTTCCATTGATACCCGTTGACCTTGAGCTGAGAGAGAGAAGACAAAGGATCGGCAGGTCTGAAGTTTAAGGAGATGTGTGAACTCCTGAGTTCAAGGACATTGACCTAGCCCCTGGGAGCTAGGGCTAAGAGTGAAGCAGCCAGCTGCTCTGAAGAGCAGGGAGGTGTGCATGAACTCCCAAACTTGCAGCAAGTACCCATTTGACCTGGCTTGGATAACTAGCAGAGCAGAACTCATCCAGAAGAAGATAAAGATGTTTGATATATCCAGATCAGTCAAGAGGTATAACACTGTCTGTGATAGGATAATATCCATATGCCTACAGGGAAGACCAGTTAATACCGCTATTATTCAAATTTACACACCAAACCACTAAAGCCAGTGAGGATGAAATAGAAGAATTCTACCAACTTCTTCAATCTGAAATTGACCAAACATGCAATCAAGATGTATTGATCATTACTGGTGATTGGAATGCAAAGGTTGGGAACAAAGAGGAAAGATCAATGGTTGGAAAATATGGCCTTGAAATGATGCTGGAGGTCGCATGATAGAATTTTACAAAATCAGTGATTTGTTCATTTCAAATACCTTCTTTAGGCAGCATAAGTGATGATTATATACATAGACCTCACCAGATGGAATACATAGAAATCAAATTGACTACATCTGTGGAAAGAGACGACGGAAAAGCTCTGTATCATCAGTCAAAACAAGGCCAGGAGCAGATTGTGGAACAGACCATCAACTGTTCCTATGAAAATTCAAGCTGAAGCTTAAGCAAATGAAAACAAGTCCACGAGACCCAAAATATAACCTTGAATATGTCCCATCTGGTGTGGCGTTGCCAGTTAATGCAGTAAAGTGCAACGTCAGTTTGGGCCATTAAGGTTGCAGTTCTAACTCACCAGTTGCTCCTTGGAAACCCTGTACAGGGTCACTATGAGTCGGATCCCAACTCGATGGCACTTAGCAACAACAACAAATGTCCCATCTAAATTTAGAGATCATCTGAAGAACAAATTTGATACATTAAACATTAAAGGTGAAAGACCAGAGGAGTTGTGGGATGACATCAAGAATATCATACATCAAGAGAGCAAAAAGTCATTAAGACAAGGAAGAAGAAAAAGATCAAAATGGATGTCAGAAGAAACACTGACACTTGCTCTCCAGTGTAGAGATGCTAAAGCCAATGGAAGAAATGAGAAGGTACAGTGCTGAACAGAAAATTTCAAAGGTTAGCTGAAGAAGACAAAGGCAAATATTACAACAAAATGTGCAAAGATCTACAGTCAAAAAATCAAAAGGGATGAACACACCAAGCATTCTCAAGCTGGGGAAACTGAAGAAAAGATTCAAGCCTCAATTTCCATATTTGAAGGATTCTCTGGACAAATTATTGAATGATGCAGAAAGCATCAAAAGAAGATGGAAGGAATATACAGAGTCACTGTACCAAAAGTAAATAGTTAATTGTCAAACATTTCAAGAGGTAGCATATGATCAAG